TGTGCCTTGCAGCCGTGATTGTATTCTTAATAACGTATTCTTTTTCTATATAATAAGTACTTTGAACTTTTGTTATAACAAAAGACACTAGAGTATAATGAGTTGGGCTGTTCAATGGAAACAGTCGTAATAGATACTATCTGTCAAAATGAAGATATGGGTCACCATATCTCGGTAAATATGAAAGGCTCTATACAAATGTCATGATATTATGATATATGATATTTCTAAGATATGCTTAATTAGAATTTTAGAGGCAAAGGTTCTGTTTGATAAAATATGTGACTTTAAAAAGTTGTTAATGTGCAGTTTGCTTAGATTTGGCAATTAAGTATTATAAAAAAAATAATTCCGAGTCCAGCCTGATACTCGAGACAGTAGTAATTTTTAAATATAAATATATTTATTAATTAATTTGATTTAATGAGAAACCTGTAAACAATACAAAACGTCTAAAAATTAGTATATATTTAAAAAATATGCGATAACACCGTTTAAAAGTCGTATTCATTTCATGTATTTTTAGCAAACATGTTATATAGAAACCTATTTTTAAGATTAAAATTCATTATTATATTATAAAAAGTCAAAAAAATATATAATAATAAAATATATTATTCTAAATGTTTGTGCCTTCTTGGCAAAATAGAATTTATTCTAAAAAAATAAAATCAGTGGTCTTGGTAGATATTGAGTATTTAGACTTCACGAACTTGAGGTTAGAAAAATCAGAGTTAAATTCCAAAGTAACGAAATAATCATTATTGACAGTTCGCTGTTGCTGCCATTAAATATGTAAGCGTTACTAGTAAATTACAAAAATGTTACAAATATAAAATTATGTATTTGTTACATTTTTATAATAAATTTCTACTTTTAAGAGTCTAATTTCCCCGACTCAAAAAGGTTTGATTAAAGACAAGTATATTAAATATCGTAAGTACATAATAATCAGTCGAAATATTTAGTCTCATTGAATTTCAATGAATTAAAATTTTGAGACATTCAGTTGACGAGCAAAATAAATAAACATCTTCTATCATATCTTAAAGTAACAAACCACGTGATTTAACAGATAAAAATAGGTACACTCACGGAGGAAATACATTCGTATTCACATAATATTATCGATGACATGACGAGTTGTGTTTACGGTGATGCGTCTGGTTTACCTAGGGTTGTCACACCAGACAATACCCTTTGTGACATATCTTCAAGTACATCATGCCTGGCATGCGGCGAAATCTGAAAAAGACATTTTTGGCTGTAGTTTTGTTATAACGTTATGTTACAAACAAAATTGCTTTAGAAATAATACTGTCTCAATTTTGGAAATTAATGTAAGAATTTAGTTAAGAGTTCGATGAAGTTGTGAAGTTAATCATCTTTCGCAAGGATATGTGTCATATAATGGTTGACGAAAACCAATTATCTCAAGATCTGCCGTGCTTCAAAAAGCACGTCTTCGACTGCTATTTGTTTTCATTTATATAGAAGGCCTATTCCCCAGCAGTTTAAGCGGCTAATTAAGTAATTTTAGTAAAAAATATTAAAGGTACCATTATATACGACTTCCGTAGCCGAGTGGTTTGCATAACGGTTTCAAGCTGTTGCCATCTCTGTGTGGTCCGATTCCTGGTCAGGCGAATGTAGAAAAAGAACTTTTCTAAATTGTTTCGGTCTAGGTGTTGTGGTACCTTCGTTTCAGATAATCCATAATACGATGGTTTTAGCTATTCATCTTGGAATTTGAGTAATGTATGTGATGTTGTTTAATATTTATATATTATAGCACATAGCGGCCTCATAACTTCAAATAAAATTACAATTCACGAATGTCATTAATTGCTACTTACTCGTATATAGGTATGTAAGCCCTCGTCAGTGTTTACAAACTACCTTCGTTAAGAAGCTTGAAAGTATTTAAATAGGTCAAGTTTGAGTACTATAAATATCTTCTCGGAGTATACAAAATTGTAAAATTAAAAATCAAGGTCCAATTGTTCTTTAACCAGTCCTTGTGTTGTTTCCTGGTGGACTTTTAGCTGTGCAGTTGAATGGCGTTATTGAATTTAACCAGTTGGCTACAATAATTTCATTGTATTGTAAATTCATTACATATAAAAATCCATTCATAATGCGATAATGAATTATACATAAATATCCTTAACATTACAGACCCGACAACCCTAATAAGGCGCCTGTTTAAGATAACACGCGCAATACAGATGGACAGACCGTTGAGTGGGCTCCCACGGCATACGACACCGGTCCCTGAATCTATGTCAATATTCCTGTGACCTTGTGATATTTCCAGTAAGATCATAATGTAACGGTTTTCCATTATTTATTGAATTTTAAGTCAATTTTATATTGGTAGCCTACCGTTCTGTTGACTTTAGGTACCTAAGGCTTACGGAAGCGCATAATTGATCTCATAGCAAGGTGCTAAAGATAATGAAGTAATACTAGGAGCGCAACGGTGATTTTCTATCACGGGCTCCTGTCATTTGTATGGAAGACAAGAGATTCTTAAGAATATTTTTTTCACAAAATTACGAAATTACCAAATTAATAATTCCATATGATTTTATTTAGACGACGATCATGATCCGGCAGTCAAACCGTTTAAACGGTTTAGCTGGACTGATTCCAAAAAATATTGTATCTTATACTTTAATTCTACTAATATTATAAAACTAATAAAGACGAATGTTTATAGGTTTGGATGTTTGTTACTTCTTCACGCAAAAACTACTTAACAAATTTTGATGAAATTTAGTATACAGGCAATTCTTAGTCTGGATTAACATATTAGCTACTTTTTATCCCACAAGAAGGTTCCCTAGAAATAGAAGTACCTCCAAGCACGCCTATTTTTGTGAACGCTGCTTAAACGGTAAAAGATCTACGAACGCCTTCTAAAGAAAAGTAGGAGAGCTTTAAATTATCTATAAAAAAGTCCGCAATAGCATATACATATGTGCTAAGGTTTTGCCATAAAAGTAAAAAACCTTCGTATAAACGTATTAAATTTTTTTGTCCGTTTAGACGATTATTTGAGTAAGTGACATTAAATACTAATCGAAATAAATATACTGAAATGAAATGAAATGAAAATATCTTTATATCTGAATAAAGATATTTTCAATCTTTATTCAGATATTTTCATTTTAGTATTTAATGTATTTTACACCAAATAAATTGGATGAATAATTAAAAGTTTAGTAAAGATAATTGTGGTTGTGATACTTGGTGCGTAAATGTTGAAGTCTTGTTTGTTACACACAGTTTGATATAAGAACAGAAAATATATAATATGTTTGTTTAATTGGCATTAATGCTTGTGATATTGAAATAAACATTATATTATTCTATCAACGTAGGTATGTTTCATTTAATTTTGATTTCTAGGTGGAAGAATAATCTAGTCATATATTAAGGATGAAGGAGAAAGGAGAAAAAAACATATTGGTTGTATGGCAACACCTTAAATAATTTTATTTCTATTTTTTTATATTTGTTATTACAGCGCCAACATAAACACATCATCTCTGAAAATTTCAACTGTCTAACTATTACGGTTCATAAGATATAGACTGGTGACAGACGGACAGACAGAAAGATGGGGGGACGGACAGCTGAGTCTTAGAGCGTTTGTGCACTACACTGAATTTTCAGGGCCGGCAGTCCGATTTTTTCCAGTCCGATATGTCCCATATGTAGGTTTTGTAGAGAATATGCACTGTCATGAATTTTACGGACCGGAATTTTACTTTTCTCTATCCGGACCGTTTAATGTAAGTATGATCAGCATATATACATATGGGCAATGATATTTATATGACTAGATACGCAATACATACCAAAAATGTAAAGCTACTAAAACTAAGACAATACAAATATTTAATTAACACAAATAAAATTTTGATATTTTGTTGTCAGTGTTGCCGCTGATATTAACTTTCAATTTTCCCAACTATATGGGAGCCTTTTTTTATTTTATGTGGCTATAATTTATCTAAATATCTTTTTTGTATTAATGATATAGCTCAGCTTAAGTATAATCAATATTGTTGTCGCCGTTTTTCCATCCAAACCGCATAAGATAGATCCAGGTGGCGGAATATAATCTTAAAAAAGTGCTAAATGGCGATCATGACCCTCAGCATTGAGGATATCAAACAAGAAGGAGGTTGAAGTTTCCTCGATATTTTTGGGCGTCGATATATCGATATCTATCGGATTTTTTATTTTGGATGCATCCCTAAAGCTTTAAACTATTATATTATATGATAAGCTTGCTATACTTGTCATATACTTGTTTAGTGGTCTGTGATAGGGATGGCAAATGGGAAAAAAATATCGATATATATCGTATCGATCTTTTTCAAATGAATTAATAAATATTGACAAAAATATATCGATATATTGATATTTTCTGCATCATAAGTGATTATCTATAAAATTGACAAAATATTCGAAATTTAAAGCAAATAAACACCTGGTTGTTTTGTTATTTACAGTACCTATTGTATTGTAAAGCCAAGAAAACAACATCTTCAACACAATAAAATTACATTATTCAAACAAATCAGTATTTGTCTGATATTAACATCAGGAGCACTCTCACTGATACCAACCAAACCAACAATCAGTGTCATTGTCATAAAGAAACAAAAAAGATAAGCAGGTCAGGACTGTAATTTCCAAACTCATACAGCCTACCTACTCTTTTTAAATTTAAGAAATACGTTATGAGACGTATGAGCAGACAGCAGAACTTTAAAAAATATATTGATTATGATACAAATTTGATATCTGAAAATCAATATCGAAAGCCGATATATCGCGGAAAAAAATATAGCTGATTTATATCGATATTTTGATATATCGATAATTTTTGCCAATCCTAGTCTGTGATATATAAACAGCTGATGGTATATTGACTGACAATGTTATAGCTTCTTTTTAATTTAAATAATCAATTGTTGAACGTTATGAATAATCCCTGGAGACGTTTCTTGTGTCGTATTAGACCGATATCTTATTCAACACCTAGACTGCACCGTATAATATATCAAAAAGCCGAAGTAACCTCTTCACCTTGTATTATTTCTGGTCATTCTTTTCTTTCCATCAGATTTAAATCTAAAAAGGTTTGTGTTACTTACTGCTAGTATTAAGAAAATATAAAAAAGCTATATAAAATTCGCTTTTTACGCTTAACATATTTTATTTTCTTTATTTCGCAGTACGCTGTTCATTATAAAGACAAACACTTGTACCACTATTGAAAAACTATGTAATGCTTGAATAATGATTTCAATTAAGACCTCTTCACACAAAGGTACGCTGTATTATACAAAGTACTCTCATTATATTTCTTATTCTACCACAGCAAAGTGCAGATTCAGATGATGAAGACAATTTCTTTGAGGATGCTACACTGTCTAAAGATTCAAAGAAAATTAAATTCGATACAACATCAATGCGTACTGATATTATATTGAAATCCGCATTAGGAGTAGCTAGAAAGTAAGTGTATATGGATTTATATAATTACTTATTTAATAACTCCTACAAATAGATGTAAATGCATTTAATAATTAATTAGTTACTATTATATAATTCTATTGATATCTATAATATCCATATTTATACAAGTTCCTATCTTTCAGTAAAATAGAAAAAGCTTTCTATGAGAGTAAAATAAGGTTAAATGGAAGGAAAATCCTCAAGAAAAGTGCTTCTGTAAGTATTTATTAAACGGTAGGTATATCACTCAATGTTCAATCATTGGGTCCAGTTTCCCTAGATTTTTTACCCAAATTCGCTTTTATTTGACAATTCTGGAAATGGCAAACTGGGTTGTTGCATACTGTGTTACTGTGCCCTTTTTAAATTCTCTTTTACTTATTAGACAGACAAATTTGCAATAATCTAACTAAAACAAATAGTCAAACAGCACAGAGCTGTCACTTGGAATCCACTTATTGCACAAAGGCATACTGTCAGTGTAATCTATATATATGAGTTATTTCTAACTTTATAATCTGTATTATTATAATATAATAACTGTATAAGGTCTTTGTGCATAACATGACAAACTCAAGAAATATTTTGTTTACACCTAAATGTCACTTTTCTGTGGTGCACCTATTCTCCCTTGATCTGTTTCTCAAGTCTCAAGTTTGATATGTTGTGTATTCAAGAAGCCCTTTTATAATTCCCAGTAGCAAACAATAATGCCAATTCTGTTGTACCAATCTCTAAAGGCTCCAGTACACAATGGCCCATGCTGGCCCACTACAGGCCATCGCCATTGTGTACAGGGGGTAATGGTATATGATGGCGGACAATTGTCAATCGTGGCGCGCAATCGGAGAGTTGTCGGTTTTTTGGGTACACTTCAAAGGAATCGTGGCGTAGCGTGGCCTGTGGTGTTCACACAATCGGCCATTGTTTAGTTCGTCACCGACTGCTGACCGGGATAGTGCACTTTTTTGTTGCGTGCTAGAACTGGAATTTTTGATCGCCCAAAATGTCAGTATCGTGGAGCAATGATGAAACTTTTAAGTTTATTGATTTATATCAATCTGAGCCCGCAATTTGGGACTCAAATAATGCACTGCATAAGGATAAGAACAAGGTATGTTTATACTATTTTAATGTTGATAGAAATTATGTATACTATCTATACTTCTATACTAATATTATAAAGAGGAAGGTTCGGAGTTTAGTTTCGGAGCCTATTGTTGGAATTAAATAGGCTCCGAAACTAATGTACCGATTTGAAAAATTCTTTTAGCATTAGAATCCTACATTATCCCTGATGAACATAGGCGATAAAAGAGCCTTGTCTGAAAATAATATATAGTATATTGGAGGTACGATGTTTTCAGGTGAATGATGCATGGAATCGCATTGCAGACTCCCTGCAAATTCCTGTTTCGGAACTTAAAAAAAAGAAAGAGACATTGATGTCAGCATTCCGGATGCATTTCAAAAAAAAACAAGATTCGATCCGATCTGGTATGGGAGAAGAAGAAATTTACAGGCCAATTTGGGTTTTTTATGATGCTATGGAGGCATTTTTAAAAGGAAAATATACATGCAATAGTATTATATCGACAGATGTACAAAGGGTAAGTAAAACAAATAAATAGTTTCCAATAATTTTTATTAATATAGTAAGTACGTATTTACTGGTTTTTCTTTCCATGAAATATAAAGTAATTAAACTACGCATCATAGGCCCTACCACTGCATAGTCGACTTTGATGGATGTAATTCATAAAATTTGATCTTATTTGTGTAGCATTAATTGGAGCCCGACGAGGTATAGATTGTAATGGTAATAGATTTTCTTCATGGTTTACTCTCATACCTACATTGATTAATTCACCATTCCTATCATAGCTGTCAGTACTGCCTGGTGGAGTATAAATATAGCGAGATGATTTGCTCTTTCTTAAAAAATTGTGTAGTAATAAACAGCTGTGGGTTATAATAGAAGTTTTAACGACATCTAATGGAATAGATCTTTTAAATACTCTAAAAACTGATGATAATATCCCGAAAGTATTCTCTACGACCGCACGAGAACGTGATAGTTGTTGATTGAACATTCTTTCTGGGGTACCTAACAGATGATGTCCAGAAAAGGGCTTCATAATATGAGTACTAAGAGCAAAAGCACCATCACCCAGAAAAACATAAGGCATATTAGTATTACTTCCAGGAAGTGAACAACTAGGTGGTAAATTAAGGGTCCCATCACATATTTTTTTCATCAAATTGCTTTGATTTAAAACACCTCCATCACTAATTCTCCCTTGGCTTCCTATGTCAGCAAACACAAAACAGTAATCGCTATCTACTAGGGCTAATAAAACTATGCTGAAACTTCCTTTGTAATTAAAGTATTCAGATCCGGTATGGCCTGGTGCTAATATGGTAATATGCTTCCCATCTATCGCGCCAAGGCAATGGGGAAAACTGAATCCTTCCGTTTTGGTCAGCCATTCCTCAGGACTTGTGGGAATCTGAAAAATAAATATTCTTTTTTTTCAGGCAGGCATTGGAGAACAGACAGAACAAGAAACGGAAGCCCCAAGTGATGCTAGAAGCAACACAGAAACAAAGGACATGAATATTAAGATACCTGTACAGAAGAGACGTTCAGTTAAGCCACCTGAGTTAGAAAAAGCAGATAAGGAAATGTCAAAGGCTTTTAATACGTTAAACCAGGCTATTCTCAATAAAGGCCAACAAAATAAAATAGAGGACGACTGCGACTTGTATGGGAGGCTTCTTGCTAACAAGCTCAGAAAATATTCAGATAATGAGAGACAAGAAATAATGTACGATATTGATGGATTACTATTAAAACGGCGTCGCAATTGTAGTCCTCAGTACGTGTCTTCACCTTCTCAAATCATTATAAGTAAACGTCCGTCATCTTCAGCTACCAGTTATTCTTGTCCATCACCGTCGTCACTTTGGATCAATTCCCCCCCCTCATCATCAACGTCTTCAAATTATTCTCAATATAAAAGCCAAATCCCTTCTCCGCAAACTTATATAATTACTTCTCCTATTCCACCTACGCAAACTCCATCCCCTCCTCCACATACTGAACTCCCTATTGCCTCATGCACACAAAAAGAAATTTATCAATCCCCCAACAGAATCCATACACCTGGCCCTACGATCCATATACCTGAGGATTCCATGCAATTAACTTCTGACGAATTGTATTCTCAGCCACAGAGTCAGTCTCAGAATACTTTGGCTGATGCTTATGCAAGAGCCTTGAAAAACGATTACAAAAATAACCAATTTAAAAAAATGTAGTGGGGAAATAATTATTGATTAAAAAAAATTAAGTATGTACAAATGTTTTATTAACTTACCTTAATCATGTCCTTTAGCACTTGGTTCAGAGCCAAACATACTTCAGGAATAATTCTAGATATGAGTGTACTTGATATTTTAAATAGGTAGTGCAGGCTCCTATAACTGTCTCCAGTCGCAAGAAATCGCAATGTTAATGCCAATCTTATTTTTGGAGGTATTGCTTCTCGCCAATATGTATCCTTTTTTGCAATAATTGACGATATTTTTTGCAATATATATTCGAAATCACTAGATGACATACGAACAAAGTTATCGAATTCCCCTGTTGGTTCTGCAACAAGATCGCTTAACAGATTGTCCATGGTTTGTCTGAAAACGGAAAAAAAAATTCTTAGTCATGTTACGTTAACATTCTAAATATAATATCATAACCTAAGTACCACATTAAAAAATTCTACGTACCTTGTCCTGTTACGATGAATGGTCAGCATCCACCATCGCCTTTTGCGCCATTTCTTTTTTATAACTTTGTGACGGTACACACTTCTGTAATACTTGTAAACAGTATATAAATAAATAGCCGCAGCCGTAATTACTTCTACGTCCATCGCGAGTGGTTTACCAGGCAGCACTGAGACATGCACCACTGTGTGAACACCAAGTGATCGTGGCCTACAGTTGTGCATTGCAAAGCATGGCCCATCACAGGCCATTGTGTACTTGAGCCTTAAACTTGAACAAATCCAATTGAAATTTGAGTTTCTTTAAAATTGAGCGACATGAAAACTAAGAAATATATATTCATGTTTTCTTTAATATAATAAGCTTAATTTGCCAGGATTAAATGTAAATTTTGTCTTTTATATAAGTTTTTTATTAGTTTTTGAAAAGATCTTAAAACTTATTTTCCCAAAGAAGTTATTAATTAATACTTTCAATTAATTTTTTATTTTTCTTTACAGACTAAAGTAGGTGATGAAATTGATATCATAAAAGGGGTGAGTCCCAAAAACTCTGATCACTTATATGTTTCTAGAGTAGAAATATTAAATGCATCACCAAATGAGGACAGCATAACAGTCACAGCTAGAAGATTTAAGACATTACTTATTGAAAATTATGATAAAGATGCTTACAAGGCCTCTGAAGCTTCTAATAGTGGAGAAAGTTAGGTTGTATATCCTTTTATTGTAAATATTAGTAAATAAAACAAAATACCATGGATTTTGTTTTTAATTTTTACCAAATAAATAGTTTCTAGCTCATGATTTTATATATCTAAATTGATATCACAGTCTGAACTCTCAAATATAGACATTTGTGAATTAGATATTCTTGATTTCGTTTGGCTTGTAGAGGCTGTACCATTATTTAGTTTTTCTATTTTAACAACAGTTCCGGATCTTTCAGTTTTAGGTGGAGATTTGTCAAGTTTTTCTTCATAAAATTTGCCAAGATCATATTTTTCAATAAATTTGAATTGTTGCAGTTTATCTATTGTATTGCTCGCACATTCTCTTTTTTCTGATTTTACATTTACACTGGATATATTTTTCCCATAATCTTTTTTACTGCGCTCTGGACGTGAGTCTTCTCCACTAAAACTGTCTTTATCATTATTATCTATTGATTTGCTTGTAATTTCTTTCTTTCCTGATTTTACGTACATACAAGATATTTTTTTTCCAGAATCTCCGTTATTGCGCTCTGAACATGACTCTTCTCCATCAAAACCGCCTGTTTCACTATTATGAAGTTTAAAATCTATTCCTAATTCCGTAAAAACATCATTAACACTAGGAACGGCATTTAAAGCTTCCGTCACGTCTAATAAACAATCATTATCGTTTATACCACCATCTTTACATTTTTTTGATTTCTTTGATTTGCGACAATTAACTGGTTCTACATCGATAGTAACTTCTTTTCGCTTCCTTACGTTTATATTCATCCTTTTATGATTATTTCGTACTTTCTGTTCTTGTTTACTCAATGTTGAATGTTTCTTCAATGTTGGAGCTTGTTTTTCATTGAGTTTTCTGGATTTGATATTGAAATCACCTCCATTACTCTCATTTTCTACAAAAATATTAGTTTCCTCACAATCGTGTTTACTTTTCTGCTTACTGAAATATGAACTAGTCACCACTGCTGCAGACAATGGTATATTATCATCATCTACGTCATCATATTTGGTAAATAAGTTACAATCACGTCTATCAATACTACTTTCTAAAGTTTTATGATCAACTTGTAACAAATTTCCATAATACAATAATTCTTCTTGCCAGATTTCATATAAATTCAATTTAACTAAAAGTTTTTTTGCAGTGCACAAATATTCAAAATCTGGATGCTTCTGAAATGTCGAATGTAAGGCGTCTACTGTATCGTCTAGTGTGCAATCTTGCATAGACAGGTCTACTAAAGTTACTGCTACTATAGCATCTGTTGGTAAAACTGTTGTTCGGTACATAAGTCGACAATGAACTTGTGATAATCTAAAAAGTAAAGGGGGAGTTTATTAACTTTTTGTTATAAGTAATTCATTCAATATCAATTTTAAATTTACATTATCCTTTCATTGTCAGCTGTCCCCACTGCAGGGGCTCAGGCCTTCCTTATGGATGGTTAAGGAGGATGGGCCATGACCTTCCACACTGGCCCAATGCGGATTGGAGGGTAAACATTATCCTTTACTTTAAATTCTTTATTCATTATAGTGGATATGACATAAATAAAATAGCATATTTCAATCGCCATAACAATAAGTACTAAGTGTTCAAATTACCTGACGAGACTATCGAGCATTCTAACAGTAGTACGCGAAGGGTCTCTGTATTCAGATTTCCTTTGCATCATATAATAAGCTTGCAGTATCGTATTTGCAGACTCAGTCATGGTTGTATCACGAGGGCCAACAAGACTTATATACATCTGTAAACATTCCCGCTAAATTTAATTAATGTGAAAATCACACGTATTCTTAATGAAAACTGCTTATAAATCTACTTTGTCCCTGGTACTTTGAGATGGGATTCGAACCTATGACCTTTCGCAATCCGGGCGACTGTATAACCACTGAGCTTGGACTGAGGGCGGATTGCCAGAATATTGAAGTGCTTGAAAAATTCGTCAGTCCTGTTAGGGGTCATCCATAAATTACGTCACACGTTAGGAAACTATGACATTAGAACAATATTTAGTAGAATTTATATAGACAAACATGTGACAGGAGGGGGGGGGGGGGGGGTTAAAAATCATGAATTTTGTGTGACGTAATTTATGGACGGCTCCTAAGGTTCTGGGTAGGTCAGTAGTTAGAGCATTCGCCCGGATTGCAAAAGGTCATCGCTTCGGATCCCATCTCAGAGTGCCAGACACAAAGTGAATTTTTTTAAGCATTTTTTTATTAAGAATATTTTTCGGAATAACATTGTGCATGCAAAATTGATCAAATATAATAATTACATTTCTCATAATACACACGAAGTAAATAATAAATAAACGCTACTGTCAATGCTATTTAGGCGTACACATAAATAATATCGAAACTTAATACTTTATAATAAAAAAGGGGTTATTTGGGTAACCTGAACCCAAAATTAACTTTCTCGAATTAAATTTAAACAATAACACTTTCAAATTCTATCGCAATAAAACACACTTGATATTTCATAAGTTACTACAGTTTCACATAGACTTTTATGTATACTAGATCAATGATGAATCTTCCTTTCAAATCTACCAATAGGGAAGATGACTGGGCAAAAAAAAAGAAATTGTAATTAGTCCATCAGTCAGACAATAGAAAAGTTTTTTTTTTCGCTTCTATTGAACAAGAAATGGCAAAGATAAATAGGCATTAAAGTTGGGGGCTTGCTACGTTTTAACTATGTAGAAAATGTACAAAGGTGAGACGTTATGCGACATTTCAAGTCAATATAATGCCATAATTTATTGATTATGCAAAAAATAAAACGCATAAAAATTTCTCATCATCCCGAATCAAACGATGACGATGACGTTCTATTTAAATTTATATTAAGTCTTGTTCCAATAATTATAACACCTTGTCCAGAATGGGTGAAATCAGCGCAATTTCATTTTCAATCACTGAGTTCCTGGTGGGTTCGATACCGATGGGTTCAATGTAAAAATTTGACTTTTCTATATTGTCTCGGGTCTGGTTCATAATTAGACGGCTTTAACTACTCATCTTGGAATCTGAGTAATGTTTGTAATGTTGTCTAATATTTTTATTTTATTATTCGTGACACTATTCCCAACAACAAATAATGAATAAAGAAATGCTTCTCATACATATTTCTGGAAAGGGTCTTCGTGACTAACTGTTCCAATATGTAAATAGCTTTTGATACCAGGTTTATTATACTCTTTGATCTTATATAAATACTTAGTAATTAAAAAAGATAATAAAATAAAATTCAGTGTGTGCAAAACAAACGACCGTATCATTTACAGATCAAATATGTAAAATACAATGAGTTAGGTAACCGTCTCATTTACATTCAGCGGGGACAGGCGCGTGATTATTAGTGGTTCATCCGATGCAGTGATACTTTAATCATTCTGATTGACCGACATTTGACGTGCTTAGAAATTTAGTATAACCTTCTCTGCTACTCTAAGTACTCGGTGAGCCATCCATTTCCCAACAATATTTTTCTTATTCTAATGAATTCTGTCATACCTGAATTTTATCCAAACTCCACTTCTTATTCGCATCTGAATAAGAGCCGCCAAACAAAATATATGATGAAACAAGTTTATCCCATGCTTTGTTTTTTCCATCCAAAAGAATAAATATCAAATCAAATCTGAAATGAAAGTAAATTATACACATGAATTAATATACATAAATACTTCTTAATAATCTTAAGTCTTAAATTATAATTATTTATGTTTTTAACAATATAATTAGATAGACGGGCTTAGAGTTGAAATTTTTCTTTGTTTTTCTTCAACAACTTTCTACTTTTAAAATTGTATATTATTGTTTATATATGAATCTTTATGTGTAAAGTACCCCTAACGTGACATGTGCAGAATTGTGTAAATGCAAATAGGCCACAAATTAATAAAATCCGGCCAACTGCGAGTCGGACTTGCGTACAAAGGATTCCGTACCTAACTCACTTCCCACTTATTTATATCTATAATACAAGACGACGCGGGTGAAGCTGCTGGCTGTAGGCGGTAGCAAAATTGCAAAAAAAACAAAACAATTTTGTTGTATGAAGAAACAGAATAAATTATTATTCTATTTTTAGTGTTTGTTGCTATGGTGGCAACAGAAATAGGTTATCTGTGAAAAATTCAACTGTCCAGCTCCATTGGTTCATGAGATACAGCCTAGTGACAGACGGAAGGACAAGTATCCTTAGTAATAGATTCTCGTTTTTACATATCGGGTACGTGACTAAAAAAGAAGGTCACCTATGGAAAAATTGAAAATTGGCAGGGGCTCAAGCTTTCCTTATGTTAAAGAGTATGGGCCACGACCCTACTCACTGGCCCAATGCGCATTGGCGGGTATTGACGACTGCAAATGCAGCCGGGACCAACGGCTTAACGTGCCTCCCGAAGCACAGAGTAGGTCGAGATAATCTTTTGACCCACCTATCCCGTAACTGACCCTTGCGAAAGCTGCTTAACAATAACGATCGCGGGTCACGGCACTAATCTACTACGCCACCGAGCTGACAGAAAGTAGCCATTAGAAAGAAAAAAGGCAAAAAAAAAGACGCGTATCTAAAATGTAACAATAGGGATGACGGCAATTTTTTTATAAAAACCATTTCTTGTTTAAATTGAAGCCAAAAAAATACTACTCTAATATTTGCCTGATGGAGTAAATATTTTTTTTTATCAATCGTCATCCCTATTATGTTTTTTGCAAAGTAATTACAAACACACAAGTATTACCTACTTAACAATGGTGTACCGAGCGAAACGTTGACGCTAAGCGGTTCGTCTGTTTGATAGTGGCCTTTTGGATTGCAAGCTGCTATAACTGCGCAACGAGTGTTCAATTTACATACTATTCCAGCCTAAAAAAAGGGGAAAATAGGGGTGTTAACAATAAACGAAAATAAATACATTTTTTTTCTGGTAGTGTTTAATATACTATTGCCCAGTTGCACAATCGTCCATTAAAGTTTGATAACGTCTTAAAGCTCTAATGAATGCTCTAAATTTGAATTTTTTTATCGGTAATGTTGCTTTAAATTAGTGTAAATTTTAATGGTCGTTTGTGAAACGCCGAATTTTATCGATAATCACACTTTAATGCTTATTATATTTATAATATTGCTGTTTGGACGGTAACAGTCCAAAGCATCATATTCCATAATAAGACATCGGACAAGGACTGATCCATCGTTATGAGTACGATGGGCATGCCCACAACCCTAATAGAGTTGTGACGTCACATTTCGATATTCTACTGAGATCAATCGTCTGCGTCATATATTTTGGTAAGCATATCATTGGCAGGAATCAGAGACTTACACTTGGCCTGTTCTCAAATGAGTGTGATCTTATCACAACCTTTTTAAAGATCTAAATCCGCCCCTGACATTGTAAGGTTTAGTTCGTTTCTCCCTGCATTTTGACCTAAATGACTTTGCTAATAACTCTAGAATGACGTGGTGTAGGGTAAAGCTTTACCTTTCATAAAAAAAAGGTTTCTACTATACAATCCCTTAAAACACCAATGCAATAGATACAACAGTTTACCTTAGCTATAGAAATAGTCTGTTGTTCCATTGCCTCGTGTATCGCAGTACGATCGTGTTCTCTCAACTGGGATATCTCATCGATACAACAAACTCCGCCGTCTGATAACACCAGTGCACCTGCTTCCAGTTGCCAATCGCCATTTTCCTACAAAAAAATATCGGTTTATAGCACTAGTCGGTATTCACATTTTATTATTACATTCGGTAACTTTTCGATTATTTTTATAGAGAAATATTTCATATTATATTATTTTAAGTGTGACACGGCCCTTACACCCAGCTTCTGAATTGATAATTTAAAATTAAGCACGTCTCAAAACGTACCTACTTAAACAATATTAAAAATCATTTAACCAGGTTTTTGTTTCTGATTTTATATATTTTTTTTTTAATGATCAGGGTGGTAAGTTTTAGGCTAACGCGTTCACTAGTAAGCGCGTTATGAATTTGTATGGAGATTTATAGTTCTTGGTAGTTACCGCTAGAGGCGCTGTACCGGATTCTCAAAATCCGCTCAAAAAAAAATGAGCTCAAAAATTTACACTAAGCGTTGAGTTGATGACAGTTTGATAAAAACTGGGACTTTTTGTCTTGTGAAGATTAAAAAACTTAAGTTATTGAGAATAATCAGTTAAGAATATTACTACTGTAGTTTTTTTGAGCCTTTAATGAATAATTAATGGTATATTTTAAACAATTTAAGTAGGAACTCTAGTTAAAATAGAAAAAATATCTAGTAAGTACGTGTGTGAGGTCACATAGGTATGTTGTTTTATCAGTGACATTTTTTGTTCGCTGTCGTTATGTAGTATAAAGGTAATCATATTACTAAACATTTTACCCTGAGAGCGGCGCAAGTGAGGCCGGCGCGAGTGCTCCCCGCACCAGATGTGAACACGGAGCGAGCAGTCAGATCGGCGCCCGCTCTTAGGAGCTGAGACTTTCCAGTACCTAGCGTCAGATGAAATAGAAAAATAATCAAAACGTCAATTCACTGATCGTTACTACTTGATAGGCAGGCTGGGATATACGACTTTTTTAACCGAGACAGCTGCATATGGCGCCCTTACCCTATCCCCCACCCACTCCCTACGCACCAAAGAATTTATAAACTGCAAAGAGATATATTTTTTCTTTCATTTCAATTAGGGACTTTGTTTCATTTGGTTGGATTAATGCGAAAGAATTTAACACAGCAATAATTCTTAAATCACTTTTATTTATGTCCCGGCAATCAGTTACACCATCTTTTCGTCATAGAGCATCTTACGTCTAGGAACCACCATAGATTATAACTTACAACAGATTTTGAATCTGTATAAAAAGATTTTTGAAGCTAGTATTATATGTACTAGCTTCACAAATCTTTTTATACAGATTATACAGATGTAGGTATTATATGTTGATGATTTTAGCGCCACCCTGCGCCCGGGGCTAGTGCCCCCAATTGCCTTCCTTGATCTGGCCTTGTTGATAGTAGTAGACGAATTAAAATAAGATATTCTTGGTTATACAAATCAGGCTTTCTCAAACTTTCTTTCATAGGTTATAATTTACCTACATGGACGAAGTCGGAGGACTCGGGGGTCGGGGGAACAGCAAGAATTATAAAAACCATTATCTTGTCTTAACATAATAAAAATGGCACCAACCTGGATCCCCTACCAAAAGTAAATGGCATTGACCACGGACTCTAGTAGTGTGTAAATCGTCCGGAAAACTCTTCTCATCATTTCCAGTGACATGATCCGAGCCCGTTATAACAGTCAATAACACTGCTAGTTTCACAAGGTGTAAACCATAAACCTGAAAAATATTTGATCGATATTTAAGAATATTAAAGATTTCAGTTCGTGAAGAAATATAATGATGATTTCCAAGAAATATTCAATTTATTATAGTTCGTCAGTCAAATAATAGAAAAATATTAGATACTTTTTGCTTAAATTTACCAAAAAAAAATTTGCTAATCGGCATTAAAGTTGAGTGGGGCTTGTTGAGTCATAAATATTTAGAAAGGTGTGGTTGTATGACACAACATTCAACTGAATAATTTAATGATTACGAAAAATAATTAAAAAACACGTGTTTAATATTTTTCATTGATCTAGCTGACGGAAAAAAAAAAACAAAAATTTGTCGTCATCACTATTGTTATTAAAAAAGTTTAATTATAAAACTAACACATGTATAAAAAACCGAGTATTACCTGTGGACAAACGGAGGCTAATATCTGATCTCTTCCTTTCAATGGGCAAGATTCAAATCTATTCCAAAATTCACTGAAACACTCATTGACATCAGGTGCAGACGATACCACATCAGACCTTTGGGAATTGCACACTTCCACATAATTGGCTTGTAGAACTAATTCAACCTCAGAGTTTTTGTTCTGTATAGTAGGGCGCCAACGACGGCGTACCGTGCCACTAGAAAGTTTTGTAAATATAATTATAATTCTTAATTACTATAACAATAAAAAAATAAAGATAATAAAATTACTGTAACAAAAACAAACTCATAATAAGGATTAATTATAAAAATATACTTAATCTATTCATTATAATAAAGCAAGTTTTAGATATGTACCAAATGTTAACATCATCTCCAGGTTTACAGCTGTCAACAAGGTCATTTTCTAAAATTACCCAAATAGATCCAGGTATCGATCCAATACTCAATTTGTTAACTTGCTCCTGAAAATAATAAAACTCTTTGAAGGCTATGATTTAAACCACAGAACACGGAAAAGTCGGCATTTTTAACACTTTTAGTGGCGCGTTTCACAGTACTTACAGCGCGCGCTTACGTGAATGACTAAACATCGCGATCGCGTGAAGTCACGATCCTGTACATTTGTCCACGATCCTGTACAATCGAATTGTCTTAAAAGTGTGCGAAGACCGTTTTTAGATATAGTGAGCCATTCACAAATTATTAAGCTTTTAAGTGCCAAGAACTAATTTGGCCCGAGCTTTGGTTGACTTGACTGTAGTTTAGACCACCGCAAGTTGCTTAATAATCCTCACGATAAAATATCCCTCAATGAAATGACAAGGTTGCGAAATTTACCATCTTATTGTTATACTAACAAAGTCAATGAGAACTAACTAAAAAGAGTAAAATAAAAACTTTATTATAAAAAAAACAAAAAACCCGACTGCGTGAAAACAAAAGAAAAAAGTGAAAAATAATATAATTACTTTCACTAAAAGCTAAAAAAAACAAGCCCACTAGATCAGAATGTTATTAAGTCCTACTGAATAACTACTCCATTGAAATAATTTTAAAATCTATACACACATAAAACATATCATAAATTTAAAAGCAGAATAGAAGGATCAACAGTTGGGACCCATTCAAAGTATACGGGACTCTGTTGATTGGTCAAAAAGGAATGGGTCCTGACTGTTGACATGAGACCTCAGAGATGGAGACACCTTGAAACAGACATGTGAGTCACTTGGTTATCAAGGTAGAGATTGCAAAATCTGTTTTTTGTGAAATCCGATTTTCGATTTACATCCGGATAATCCGAATTTTTCTTTTTTTTTGTGATTTACAGTGTTTTGATGAAACCAAAATGAAATATCATAAATTATATTAAAATCTGCATTTATAAGTTGTAATCCATGACAGGAAATAGTAAAATCAACGAAAACAAACAACATTTTGGGTACCCAGATGCCCTGAGATGGAACTCGAACACAACTTTTCGCAATCCAGGCAACTGCTTTAACCATTGAGCTACTTGAGGCCCGAGATTAAACTTAGGAAAATATCTACATACTTGTAATTATATTAGATATCTCAGATATAAAAGTCTTTGTAATTCTGGATGTTTTTGATATTTCTGAATTTCAAAGTATCTGGATTGCATTTCCTTCTTACATGAGTATGGATTTTCCAGCCAGATCCAACTTATTACCATTAGCAAACAGGTAGTGAACTGAAAGACAAATAAGTGGCAATTTTGTTGTCTCTTTCTTTCTTTCATTTTCAAATTCTTTTATTTTAATTTAGTCTTAGTTAACATTATATTTCTGTTCTTTGTTTACTGAATGAAAACTGCAGTTACACAGCAAATATTTATGCAGATAAAATGCCGATCAAGATTATATTTAGTTTTTACCAACAGAATTGTCACATTAGAAGTCAACTATCATAAAAAAAAACAGTTACCATCAGTTAATAAATCATAATTTACCTGTATTTTTATTTCTTGATAATCTTTACAATGTTCTCTTGAAACTAAATGGACTTGAGTGAATGTTGCACACTTACATCTTCTATCTATATTACCACATCTTGGTGGTGCTTTTAAAATATATCTATTCTCAAAATCAGCCTCAACAATGTTATCATACTTACACTTCATACATATATAGTTCCGTTGATATTCTAGCATTTTTGCTTGGGTTACTCTTACAACAGTACCTGTAAAAGTAACAGAATTACCTATACAGTTTAAAATCTTAAAAATTTCACATATATTTATTAACTTACCAGTAACTTTTAAAAAACATCCTAAATCAACATTTTTTGGGAAAATAGTCCTGTGAAGCTCAGGGCACACAGGTAATCCAAAAAATCTAGCTTGAACATTTCTCTTCAAAGAAATGTGCTGCAGATTTGATAGTTTATTTTTGTATATGTCTTGTTCTAATATATTCTGTTGAGCTTTTGTGATATCTTTACCACATTGAGGTAGGCTTTCAACAGGCTTACAGAGTACCTGGTCACCAACATCAGGATATGTTTCAAATAATTTGAGGAAACTGCAAAATTTATTTTATTAGCTTTTCAGAAACTTTTTTAAATTATTGGGGAAGTACTTGAAGTATACAATCTCTGCCAACTGCTGAGCAACAGATGGAGTTATGAGGCTCTCCTTGTCACCAGAGGGCTAAAATCCCTATGGTATACCCTATCCTTAATCTGGTAAAGTAGTACAATTTATTTATTGCTGTTTATACATTATTATCAAACAATAGTTGCACTCACATTATGCAAAAGAAAACTTTTATCCTATTGATAATGTCATAAATTAGGAATTATGTAAATTGTTTTCAAACAAAGTTGGTGAAGGTTAGTCTAATGGAAAAAATGTTCTTACTCGATTTTTATACTAAAGTATCCCAAGTTATCTTCTTCAGCAAGAATACGCATACAGTCTTGTAAATGATATTTTAAAATGTACTCTAAAATCATCTTGAACATTCAAATTTTCGTAAAGATATTGTTCAAATCTCTTGGAGTAAATGTGTTCTGTGGTTTAAACACAAAGTACTTTATTATATGGTTTAAATTCTCTTTGAAGGTAAGGAGTACTATCATTCTATGCTTTGGAGATGTCGTCTATTTACTCTATTTATTAGTCTATTGCATAGAGAACGTCTATTGCATATTTGTATTCAGCAATGTCATTCTCCAGGTATTATTTTCTGTAATAATATTTGTTCTCGAATCCAAGAAAATATTCAATGTTTCTTTGTTGCTCAAAAAATTCGAAAATACTTAAAATTGTCAACAAACAAACAACCAGAAACAAACACAACCTTCACAAAAACCCAAGAGCTATATTAAGAGACCTATGTAATTTGTGCAAATAAATCACAGACTTAGTAGGTATCAGACGACCAACTTCCTAACAAAAAATTTCTTCGTAGAACGTGATTGGGAGCCAGTGATACATGACAGCTTCATTCGTTTTAAATATATAGATTTACTATCGGCAAAGGCATTTAGCTATACAGCCCTGTTTTGGGTAGGTACCTAGCCATCTTCCTAGTTTCCACATTATTTTTACTTTAAATTCCTTTTTTGTTTTAATACAACAATAATAATAAAGCAGACTGATAAGTCTAGCTTAATATTATTGTTGTATTAAAACAAAAAAGGAAAAATGACCACGTAAATAAAACACACATTTTTCCAATATTATTTATTGAATAATTTATTTTTTAACTTATTATATTTTTCACAGCTCTCTTCTGCATTCTCAGCAATTCCTAGCTACGTTTTTTAGTGGCACAACCTTATGAAACTTTTCAAGGTAATCACAATTTTTTTGAAAGAGGGCACTGATTTTTGCATACCTTTTTATACACATATTTAAGTTTTTCTCAAATTTCAATTGCCTTTGGCCAGAAAGAATGATGCTCTGTTCCTTTATGCTTCTTTTGTTTATCGATGCTCCATTGACACTATCAAATAATGAAACAACATCAGCTGCATTTCTTAATGTTGTGCACATCCTCATAAGTTGCTGCAAATTAAAATATTCATATAATAATTGTATGAAACTTGATTCAAAACAATTAACTGTTAGTAAATTTCATCTAATACTCACAGAAATTTGCAGTGTAAGACAAAGCTGCAGACATATTTTTACACAATTTTTTACCTGCAAAAAGAGATATCATATTTAAAATTATCTTCATTAGAGAATCATTATTGTAGTTTAAGTATAAACTATATTAACTACTTGTTACATAATTAAAATACAGGTCATTGAATCAACACTTGCTCTGATAGAGAATATAGAAGCTGAATACAAATTATTTATTTTATTTATACTAATTTAAGTTATACTAATATAATAACCAATGCATTACCTTCATCTTTTTAATTTTATCAGGTATAACTCATTGGTCATTTAATTTATAACATAGCCCAGCTTCAGTGTGTTGATAGTCTGTCTCATAGACATAAATAATATCATGCCATTTTGCAAGTTTACCACCAAAATTATTCCTGATACATTTTATCAAGTGTGTAGAATCATAATGTTCAAATCCACTCCACATATTTTAAGAATGCCAACTGAAACAAAAATTTAAGAACTTCTTAAAACATAGATAACAATATAATAATAAGAACCTTCACTGCTTTCATTAAATCTATTAGTTTTCTTTCATATAAATATAATTCTCTGTACCAACCTGTGATTTCATTTTAAAATTTGATCACACTTAATGTCTTCTTTTAGATTTTTGAGTGCTGATTGGAAAGCTGAGCCTTGGTCATATATTATTGCGATGGGATTAAGGTCCAATTCAATAACTTTTTCTACTACTGACTTTAAAATATTCTTGATGTTTACAGTAGATGTAGCTCCTTGACAAAAATAGAAACATAAAGGCTGTTGCCACTTGTAAACAGCACCAACATAAAAACAAGAGTATGATCTGCAAAATTCACTTTCTTTTCTTGGTGTTCTACAAATCCATTAATGTTATCTTTAATCCTTATTACTTTTATTATACGAAAGTGCTGTTTCTAATGACATCTCATCAAATATAATGGAGCATATTTTTTTGGAGTTTCATTTGTCCACCTGAAAAAGTAAATTCAAATAGTTAGGTACATATTATTATTTAGTAGTAATACAAAAAGTCATAAAAGTAGTATGAAAAACCTTATATAGAATATATTTACCTCTTACATGAAGCCTGGTTCTATGATCAATTTTCCAATCATAGTATTCAGTGTGGTTATGGATGATAAAATAAAAAATTTTGCTTAAAAATCAATAACATTTTGGACTCTGCTTAGATATTGATAAAGCAATTATCTTTTCTTCGGTATTGAATCACCTCTCATGTTTATTTTTAGAGCACATGCTCACTTGCATTTCAAAAATATTTAACTGTGCTCATTTTTTGTGTGAACTTTTCAAATGATAACTTTTTACAAAACTTAAAGGTATTTAAGTATTCTTAACTTTTTTATGAAAGTTCAACTACGTCTTTGGCTTGTTATATTCTTCATAGATTCTCTGGTATAAAGGTGACAATTGGCTTTATTTGGTAATAAGCCTTTTCCTTTTTGTTTGGGTACATTTCACAGGGTCTATAACATCAAAAGTATTCAGTGAATTTCTCTATTAGAACTACTATTTGATTGAAATAAAGATACACTAAAGAAAGAGACAGGTCTTACCAGATAATTTAGTTTTTGTCATATTTTAATCTCCAGAACAAGCAACTAATTGAGTAAACTCAGTGGCTGCAGACACAGGAGTTTCAATTTGTTCTTTGAAAATTACACCACCTATGAAATCAATATTGATTATGTTTGTAAGATTAAAAAACAGGATATAATCTTAGATGATATTAGAAATATGTTATTTATATTATAAATTTTTTCTCTGATCAAAATCACTTCTATCATGCCCCGCTAGAGTTAAATAACTTAATGTAATTTTTCTTTATTTGTGTAAGAAAGACAGATCTACTAGACTTTTTTAAAGCAAAAATCTATGTTAAAATGCACCAAAACTGCAGCATGAACTTTGTTATCTAAATAAAATAAATTAAAAACAAACCTCTGTTCAGTTCCACTTTCTAATATGTGTGGTCAACATGACTTTTTCTTGCATAGCTGTGTTCCCAAGTGAATATAATTTCTGTAATAACAAAAAAATCTAATGAAGAATAGCGGTATTCCAAAACACAACATAAAGTGAAGATACATATCATTTTAATTACATTATCTAAAGAAAATAGCAGATTAAACCAGCCTTACCAGTATTGCTTGAAGAGGGTAGGCTGATTGAGAGCCCATCATCATTAAACAATGATGGATGTGCGTCACCCAAGAGTCGTGATTTCGGAGTAATGAATCTTGGTACAACGTGTTTGCTACAAATGACACTTCTGCCTGGATTCAAATTTTCAGTATCACACACAGCACTACGACATTGTAACCACTTGGAGAATCTTTTCTAGTTCACTAGAATTTTACAAAGAATAGCATCCTGTTCGTACTTTAACAATGCGTGTAACACAACCATAACACAACACACCAATATCCTAGGCATCTTCTACAAAGAAAAATACTTCGAAAAAAGGAGAGTTTATATTACAAATAAAGCGAAAAGGGTAAGCACAAACGAAATTTTACTCAATCACTTGTAATTCCCTGATATGTAGGTAAATACTTTAGTCTCCTTCTTCTTTTATTAATGGCATATCTGCGCATTCACACAATTTTGCCAATATGAAGTGAATAAATTAATTCCAACATGTAAAATAAAAATGAAATGAATTAAAGATTAATTAAAACATTAGTATCTTTACTCTTTGTTGTAATGACAGTTTCTGTCAGGTGTCATGTCTCCATCTACTGACAGGGGTGAGGGGTGTGTGGAAATGTCATACATCACTGGACCCCTACGCGATTGGTTTCTTGTACGGAGTTGACGGGCCGTGAAATAAATAAATAACATACAAATATGCATACCACATGCATATTAATAAATAGAATAGGTAAACAACAACACTGACTTCTTCTTCTTTTTAATTAATGGCGTTGCCCATGTGAATTTCACCAGAATCCTGTGTTTCACTCAGATTACTTCATATTTTAGTATTTTATAAACTCTGCTTTTTGTATGTTAGTAGAGAAAGCCTAAGTTAAAATTAAGAATTTTGTTGAAGTATGATTTTACCTACCAGGGGACTTACGTAACTTAAGGGATGATTAAAAAATCTTGTAATGTTATTTAGTATATTCGGAACTAGAAAACGACTCTAAATACAATACTCTCTCGCTAGTCCGCCGCTCGATAATCCGACAACTACTATAATCCGCCCATTTTTAGGAAGTCGATGTTAGCTGTAGACTCTCTGTAATCCGCCGTTATTGAACAAGTTCGGTCCAGTAATCCGCCGCCAAGTGTCAACTTCCTTCCCTTTCACTCTAATAACGAACATAGTTCTATTACTTCGCCGCCCGGTCTTTAGTCCGCCACGAAAAGTCGTGACCTGCACGCGTGTTTTTTATCACAAACAATACAAAATGGTTTCCTCTTCATCGCAACCAACTAAACGAAAGCACGAAACTTTAACTTTGACGGAAAAGATGGAAATCTTAAAGAAAGTGGATAGTGGTGTGCCTTATACAGACATAGCAAATCAGTTTCATGTTGGGCGATCAACAGTTTATGACATTCGGAAGAACAGAATTAAGATAGAAAACTACGTCACTAAAGCAGAGTCTGGAATAGGAAAACGTCAAACGATGAGAACTGGTGAATATACACAGCTAGAAGAAACACTTTTTTCGTGGTTTTTACAAGAGCGTCGACGTCACACACCGATAACTGCTGAAGTGTTGCGGCAAAAAGCACGTCAATTCTATGAGAAAATTTATAAGAAAAATGATTTCAGAGCTAGTGAAGGATGGCTTTCAAAATTTAAGGCAAGATTTGGAATCAGATTGTTGACCATAACTGGAGAGAAATTATCTAGCAATGAGGCTGCCGTATCACCATTTCTTGAAGTTTTTAAGAAGAAAATCGAAGAACTTGATTTGACGGCGGATCAAGTTTACAATGCCGACGAAAGTGGCTTATTTTGGCGACTTTTACCACATAAAACGTATGTTCACAGAAGTGAAACGTCTGCTCCAGGCAGAAAAGTATCTAAGGAGCGCATAACTGTTATGCCTTGTTCTAATGCAACTGGCAGTCATCAGTTGAAGCTTTTAGTTGTTGGAAAATCTGAAAACCCTAGGCCATTCAAGAACATCAGTCTCCCGGTTGTTTATAGGAGTCAAA